AGGTCAGGGAGTGCGCTCAAGAGTCAGCACAACTGATCTGGTTCTGGGAATCTGCAAAGATAAACCCTCTGCTGGAGATAGTGCCCGTGTTCCAAGTGGTGAGCTGCGCAACCGTGTTATCTCATCCATGACAAGCTAAGAGGAACACCACTTCCAACCGGGGCATGACCAGCACTAAAAATTCTTCTGGTATCAAATTATCAAGCCATGCTGTCTATAAACCAAGAAGGACAGGGCTCAGTGGGGATGGCGTGGGGAGTCCACACCTCGTCCATTGAGTTGTTTGAACCCAGCAGCCCACACAGCTTGATTGATCTGATAAATCCCCTCGATGAGCCCCTGAGGGTTGTATAACCCCAGAAGAAAGGTGAACTCCACACCTCAGAGCCTATGATGGTCATAGTCTGTTCCAAAGGGCAATTCTAGATGGTTTTTTTCAACAATCACCCTGTCAGTGGCATTGCAAAGCCTCTACTTAGCTGAGGGTGTTCTCAGTTCAACCGGGGTAAAAACCAGGCAAGGAACTACTGTCATTCAAAACATGGATGGGCTGGCTTTATGTCTAAGTGGCAGCTCCAAGGAAAGAGGGAAGGAAGGAGAATGGCAGGAAGTACGGGGGTGGAGGGGGGGAATCAGGGGCCCAACTCATTCAGGACTGTTTCAGTACCTCTGATGGAGGGAGAGCCTGGCCCCATCTCATCATCAGCTAAACAAGAGCATCATGGACTCGCAGAGGGGGTACAGGGCTGAGGGGTCAGAGATGAGGAACAGAGGTCCCCGCTTGACCATGACCTAGTTTCTGAGCATGTGGGAAGAGCATTCATCCCCCAGTGCAAAAAAAAGCCCCTTCACAAAGACACACATCAAAGCACCATGCCATCCACTTCATTCAAACCAGTAAAGGCTCGAGAGTGTGGGAAATGAGAGTTTTGCTGCTTGAAAAGAGCAAAAACCACACACTGGAAACAGAACAGAGCAGATTCAGAGAGGATTATCCATCCCTCCTCACCCTCCAAACAATGGCAATGTTCTGAAGAAGAGATGGATGGATGTAGAACCAAGGAACTTTGGGTATCATTCAGGTACTCACCTATGGAACTGCCCACACTAACTAACAGTAAAAGATGCAGGATGTTCATGCTTAGCCATAGGAAATTTGAATTTCAGATAAAGAAATACTTCCTTGGTATAAGTATGTCCCATGCTATTTGCAGCATCATTAAACAGTCGAGTAAAAGCTTTTCTATTATAAATAACGTTGCCCAGCACTGCCAGATTGTCTCTCTCATTAAGATCAAGACATCAATTCATAGCAACAGATAATTCAATGGAAGGAAAGTGCAGTTCTTCCTTGTCTGCTTTATGTCTGTTTCCCAAGTTCTCTCTGCCAGTCTCTGCATCTGATAAATCCTTCTCTGTTCCCGTTTTTCCTCCCATCCTTACACAGGACAGTCTCCCACAGTGTTTCACTTTATGTTCAAAGATAAAAAACCTGAAAGCATTTCAGATACATATTTGTGCAATGAATCCAAGCGCTTTTTGTTGCTGAAAATTAATTTACCACCTTGACCCACCAGAAAAATGTTTAAACCTTTTAGCCATGATGACCTAGCTTCCTGACACTTTCCACTAGAGGAGAGATCTGAGTCCTCAAGACCCCCTAGGATAAGATGCCTGGGTTTCACACCTGGTCATCCTCCACAGGTCCAAACTTCCTCTAACTGTTTCCTGTGAAATGCCCGTGCTGACCCTTGAACACTGCTTTTACCTTGAGACCTAAAGGAATTCTCTTCAGTAACTGCTCAGGAAATGGTAGTTATCGCATCACCAGGAGCTTAACTTAGAAAAATAAAAATCACTTAAGATTTCAGAAGAGATTCTGGTCCACGGATCATCTGAAAAACCCTCTTTATTTTTCTCTTTCCCTGCTCCCCAGGAATGATTCTAATCCTATTCTTCTCTGTCAATAGTTACAAAATAGCTCTCTTCCACTGAGATTTAGATAGTGTGAGAACAAGAAGGAGCCAGGCAGGAAGAAGCCAAGGGCATGCTCAGTTTCCCGGTTAGGATCCTCAAAGGCACAGATTATAATTCCACTCTGTGGATGAGGCTACCACAGAATCAGTTATGGGCAGGGGTTTATGAAAATGAATGCCCACAGTCACCATGTTTTGGAAGGAAGGGTTTAGATCTGACATGCTTCAGGGGTCTTTTTCTTCTTATTATTATTAATATTTTTATTGCATCACCGTGAGATACAGTTTCAAGGCTTTCATGATTGAGTTTCAGTCATACAATGATGAAACACCCATCCCTCCACCAATGCACGTTTTCCACCACCAATGTCCCCAGTATCCCCTCCCCCCACCTCTCTCCGCCCTCTGCCTCTATGGCAGACAATTTCCCCCATACTCTCTCTCTACTTTTGGGAATTATGACTTGCCATGCAGATACTGTGAGGCTATCACGTTTGGTCCTTTATCTGCTTTCAGCACACATCTCCCATCCTGAATGATCCCTCCACCCATCATTGACTTAGTGATTTCTTCTCTATTCCAGCTGCCTTCTCCCCCAGCTCATGAGGCAGGCTTCCAACTATGGAACACTATTCCTGGCCCTTGTGTCTACTCTTCTTGGGTGTCAGTCTCATATTATGTTATTTTATATTCCACAAATGAGTGTTGTCATTCTATGTCTGTCTCCAGGGGTCTTTTGAACAGAAAAATGTTTGCAAGGCAGCTATAGTCTCTAAGTACCTTGATGTGCCCTAAAAATAGAGATGATTCACCATACCTCCTTGAGTTTAAAACAAAAATCATCGATGTTATCTTTCCAATATAATGATTCCTCTCCCTGTACTGGCTTTTAGTTGCTGACTCAGAAGACAGCCCTGCAAGGATGAAAGCTCTCCTAGGGCTGGTCTGGACGTAGCAGAACCAAAACTTTCAGTCTTCAGAAACACAGTGAGAGCCTCTGGCAGTTGAGAGAAGGTTGAAAATATACTCTGGTGGTAATAGTTTAACTTGTGTTAGGGTCCATGGTTCAATATTGATATAGCTGCCTAACTGATAGAGGTAATGAGTTTAATCACTAACTACCGCCAGAGTCCAAAACACAGTGGCCTCCCCCGTGAAACTCTACCATTTTAGTGCATCAACGATAAGAGTAGAGATGGGGATGGGGCTCAGTAGGAAAACTCATGGCCTGCTTGGAGATCTGGCTAGATCCTCAGCAGGAAGGGAGAGAGGAAGGAGGAGAGGGGAAGGGGAGGGAGGGGGAAAAGAAATCAGTGTGTTCCTGCAGGACAAGCAAACATAATCAATTTGTTTTTTCCCTGGAATGTCTTCTAGATCTAAATCCAAAACTGTAACATACTTCTGGCCAATGCAAGTTTGGACTTCAAGGGCTGTCCTTAAACCTAAAGGAAGACTACATTCTTCGAGACAGAGAATAGTAACAAAATAAGAAGTGGCCAAATACATTTTGTGTGTGTGTGTGTGTGTGTGTGTGAGAGAGAGAGAGAGAGAGAGAGAGAGAGAGAGAGAGAGAGAGAGAGAAAGCACAGCAGATCAGATGCTGGTCTTGCACCTAGCTGAGCCCTATCTGGGAGCAGTTAAGTGTGGTTGGGTGTGACCATCCCACTAAAACAAACAAACAAAAACAAGAAGTGGCCAAATATTGTCTGTCAGCTGCCTGAAGTACTGGGACAATACTCTACCACAATAATTGGTATATTTTGCTCACTCTGCTGACATGAATCTAAAACAGTTTTAACCAGAAATTTCCCGAAGAAATGAGGCTTCCAATTAATTAGTCTTTGTACAGTGAGTTATCTCTCAAGGGTTTTTGTAACTGGAAATTGTTCATCCCTTTACAGAAAGTTTCTTGTCTCCCCACAAGGAAAAGGGCTCCAAGTTGTCAAGATTGAGAAACCCCCGCCCCCCCCCCACTCGATTTCTGCATCAGTTTTCTGCATTAATTCTGATTATTTAACAACGATTCAGGTTTTCTTCTACTAGATGTCTGCTGATTTTCCCCCCAAGGGATTTTAGTTTCAAGAGGGGCTGCTGATTAACAGGAGCCGCCTGTGCTCACAAAGCACACAGGAGGGAAGGATCCAAGTGTTTTCTGCTTCTCACAACAGACCTCACCAAGCAACCAGTTCATCTTCTGCTCACATCTAGTTTCCTATTTTCTTTTAATCCTTTAAAAATAATCCTGAGGCGGAATTTTGCTCCATGACTTGAAGGCCAGCCACATGTGCTAGATGAAAAGGAAACTCAGATAGAGAAGAGAGCACCAAATAAAGGGTGTTGTGAGGACCCTCCCAGGGTGGGAGAGACATGCTAAAAGTAGTCTATAGACCAAACATGTTTGCCACTCAATGCCTCTCTTGCAAAACACAGTACCCAAAAGAAGAGAGAGAGAACAAGGGGGAATGCCCTGCCACAGAGGCAGGGTGGAACGGGGGAGGGGGATGGAGGGGGAGGGGTGCTGGGACCCGTGGTGGGGGAGGATGGGCTCTGGTGGCGGGATGGGTACTTGATCATTGTATAACTGAAACCCAAGCACAAAAATTTATAAGTCTATAACTGTACCTCATGGTGTTTCGCTAATTAAAAAAAAAAGTTAAAAAATAAATTAATTAATTAAATAAAATTTTAAAAAGAAATAAAGACAACAGTAATATCATTAAAAAAATAAAAAATAAAAAAATAAAAATAAACCTGAGGTATATGCCTGAATCTGAGCCTTAAATTCACAGGTGATCAACTAGAATCCCTGGGTCCAGAGGAAGGAACCAGATCAACTCATTCTGGTCCCTCCTGACCACACAGGCAGAGGCCGGAAGCCAAAATTTCCAGAGTCTGCACATTTAGCCCTGAAACTTTCCATAAAGAGAGCCTCAAGGGACAAGTCTGTGTTGCTCGTATATAGTTGAGTCTGGAATTCAGGCACGGCTCAACAAATTAAATGGCAGGACTCGACAAATTCATATTCTGTGAATATTCTCACTGTTCTGAATCTGTAAAAATTAGGACAGGCTAAACATTCACTGTAATAAGATCATGCATGTGTCCCCCCCAGACATGGTTCTTTTCCTACCTAGGTCTGGTCTTGGAAATAATGGTGATAAACTAAAAAAAAAAATAAAAATAATACCCCAATTTATACTCAATTCATCTTTCTCACTCATAGCACACACTCTCCTCTCTCTCTTCTCTCTCTCTCTCTCTCTCTCTCTCTCTCTCTCTCTCTCTCTCTCTCTCTCCCCCCTACCATCTCAGTTTCTAACGCTACCTCCCTTATTTGTATCTCAACATAGAATAGACCTAGAACTCTAGAACTCTAATTCCTGATATGCAGCCAATAACAACTCACTTTCCTTTTCCATTTATCAGGAAAATGCAGTGGTTGGGCTCCCAGCTTCATCACTACCGCCCATTTCTCACTTGCTCTGAGGATTTTATTCCATTCGCACATCTTTGTTACTCTAAGGACTTGCAAGACCCTAGAAGACAACTATGACCTAGGAAGACCAGGAGTGAGAGCCAATCTCCGGGATATTCCTCGATATCAGAAAATCTTGGTGGCAATTAGTGTCACAAGCCGGGACCTTTGTCGTCGAACTCTCCAAGGAACAAGTCTCATTGATAAATGCTTATTAATAGAAATCAGAAGATAACGCTTTCAAGGGAATGGAAGATTAGCTCTGCTTTCTGGATCTAGCCCAAGCTTGAATGTTTATCAGAGCAGCGATAAAGCGGTTCATTTAAATGAGAAATAAAGTCCTGCAAGTAAGAGATACTTTAACAATCTCAGAGTTAATACAAGTCCGAGGCGTTAAATTATGATTTTGCACAATGAGTATGCTTACGGACATATCTACCAGTTGTCTTGGACAAATTAAGCTTATTACTTGAAATGAGAAAAAAAATTTAGAGATGAAAAGAACCAGTAGATCATTAAAATAAAAAAAGAGAAGACTACTATTTGAGAAAAGAGTGTTAATGGACTAGCAGGCAGCAAGGAAAAAGCAAAATTACATCACTTTCCAGCAAAAGCCATTTTTGCTGGAAAGACAGTCTGATCTTGTTAGTAGGGAAATCAAAACAGATGACAAAGATGAGAGCAAAGAGAACAAATACTCCTCCTTTGTTCCACAGAGATTATACCCCAGAGGTGAAAGAGTGGTTCCTGCAATCTCAGAACTCATCCAAAGGTAAGTACCTTGGAATCACCACAGGATACAAGAGACCAACCAAACATAAGGAAAGATATTATCTCAGGCTTTCTTCAAAAGGAAGTGTAATAGTAGAAATGACACCTGCACCTGTATGTTCATTGCAGCACTGTTCACGTTAGCCAAAATTTGGAAACAAGGTGAGTGCCTGAGAACAGACAACTGGTTAAAGAAACTTTAACCCATCTACACAACGGAATACTATGCAGATGTTAGGAATGATGAAGTCATGAAAATTGCTTTTAAGTGGATAGTCATGGAGAGTATCATGCTAAGTGAAATAAGTCAGAAAGAGAGGGACAGACATAGAAGGACTGCACTCATTTGTGGAATATAAAATAACATAATATGAGACTGACACACAAAGATAGTAGAGACAAGGGCCAGGAATATTGCTCCACAGTTGGAAGCCTGCCTCATGGGCTGGGGGAGAAGGCAACTGGAATAGAGAAGGGATCACTAAATCAGTGATGGTTGGAGGGATCATTCGGGATGGGAGATGTGTGCTGAAAGTAGATAAAGAAACAATGTGAAAGCTTTCCAGTATCTGTATTGCAAACCATAATACCCAAAAGTAGAGAGAGAATATGAGATAAATTGTCTGCCATTGAGGCAGGGGGAGGATTGGGATGGGGAGGGGATACTGGGGACATTGGTGGTGGAAAATGTGCACTGGTGGAGGTATGGGTGTTCGGTCACTATATGACTGAATCTCAAACATGAAAGCTTTCTAAGTGTTGCTCACGGTGATTCAATTTTAAAAAAAAGGAAGTGTAACACACTGTACAAAAAGTAGGTCTGGTGTTGATCTGCCATCCATTTTTGGATGGACAGTTTTAAAAGGGCCATGAGCATGCTGTGTGCCCATCTTCCGAGTGTTCTGGGAATGTGCAGGCTTAGCTACCTGCAGCAACTCGGCAAAGTAAGGGGAGGAATCCTGGAAAGGGGGTGGTAGGCAAGTGTGGTAAATTGAAAGAAAAGATGAGAGCCCGAGTTGATCTGGCAGGGGTCTGCAAGCTCTCTGATTTCAGGCGATGCATACTAAGGACACGGTGACCTCACTGCCACCTTGGTCAGCGTCCTGTTAAGCCTTTCACTGGGCACTTGGCTGATGAGAGCACAGATTCATGGGGTGAGTGCAAAGGGGCTGGTTGGGAAACTCTCCCTTTCACGCTGTGAGCCCTAGTGCTCGGATGCTCCCTGGCCCCTGAGCTCCGAGCTGCTCCAGGCCTGCCCCTGACCATCCCTGCCCTTTCTGCAGCCTTGGAGGCCTCTTCTGGTTCCCTTGGGGCTTGGAAACTGGGCATGGGGTGGCAGTTGAGGACTCCCAAGCTTTTCAGGCCTGAATAAACAACTCTGAGCATTTGACATGAGAGCCATACATTTCTCCATCAGGGTGCTTAGTTTGCTGATAACACATTCATTTTGGATTCTCTTAACTATGTTCAGGATTTTTAGGGAAAAAAATTTAATCGTGTCACTGTGAGATACACAGTTACAGAGTTGCTTGTGATTGGGTGTCAGTCATACAATGTTCCAACACTCGTCCCTTCACCCCTGCACATCTCCCACCACCCATGTCTCCAGCCTCCCTCCTGCCCACCCCCACCCACCCCTCAAGGTGGGCCTCTAGGACAGACACCTCTCTCTCTCTCTCACTCACTCTCTCTGTAGTTTTCAATACTGTTATTGAAAGGGTATCATGCATATCACTTTATCTTTTTTCAGCACTCAGTTTTTGTCCATAGTATCAAAACAAAATCATGAAATTTGCTTATACATGGATGGACATGGGGAGCATCTTGCTGAGTGAAATGAGACAGAAAGAGAGGGACAGACACAGAATGATCGCATTCATTTGCAGAATATGAAACAACATAGCATGTGCAAAATACCCATAGACAGTAGAAAACAGGCCCGGGAGGCCTGGTCCAGAGGGGGAGCTTGCCACAAAGTGGATGTGGGAGGGCAGTGAGGACAGAGAAGGGACACTGCCAGAATGTGTTCAGTGCTTTCAAAACATACCTGAGGATTTAGCCCAACACGGGGTCAGGTTACCTGTAACTCCCTGGGGTGTTGATGCAGGTGGCTCCATTCTGGCAGCCCAGGGGGCTTTCTGAGTAGATCTCACACTCGTTAACATCAGTGGCACAGAGAGGACCCTGTGTCCGTGAAAGGAATAAAATCAGGTGTGATATGTGGATCCCACATTCCACCTGGGGCCAATAGTCCCTGGACTGTGCTCTGCTTGACAAACACCATCAGATGCGGGTGGAATACCAGTGCTCCTCTTAGTCTCAAGGACCCTCCTTCGGGCTGCAGAAGGGGCTGCAGTCTATGAGCTCTTCACCGACCACTATAGTCAAAAAGAGGCATCCCTGGGAGTCCTCATTTCAGGATGGAACCCCTGAGAACACTTCTGCGAGATTCATCGGGTACTTCCAACACTAACCCCCTTGCTGTCATGTGGACAGAAATCCTCTGCCCTGCATGCAGTGAGCTCACTAAGTCCCTTTTTTGAGAGGGGTGGGTGGGATGAATATTCCAGAAGGTTCTACAGACATGAATCTATGGCGAGGGAAATCTGGCGCAAGGCAGTTGATTCGCCCTGGGCTGAGAGTCCACAGAATCCCAGGGGCTGTAACTGGGTTGGCAGGGTACCAAGGCAAGCAGCTGGCCGGCACTGTCCCAGCCCAAGTGAGCGACTCACCTGCCACTGTGGGGGACAGATGCAGTAGAAGGAGTCATGCAGGTTGAGGCAGGTTCCGCCATGCTGGCAGGGGTTGCTGCTACACACCCTCCTGGCCACTGTCTGCAAGGGACGGGACAGACCGTGAGATGGCGACACTGGTGGGCGGCATCTTCCTCCACGCCAGAACTGAGCCACCTCAAGTCTTCCAAACCACGTAATGTGTGAACGGAAAGCCAACACAACCCGGAGGATGACTGGGCCACCCCTTGCCAGCGGGGCCACCTCGGACAGTGGATGGGACAAGATGGGAGAGAAGATTCCTGCTGTGTCCTCCAGGAAAGCATCACTCGGAAGAGACATCCACAGTGGTGGATGGGAGCCGAGGCTTCCAGTGTGGGAACCAGAAGGACTGTTCTTTGGAACTAAGGAAACAGATGGGTATTCGAGTTCTGCTGTGGGTGCCTCCAGGGAGGCCTGTGAAATGGGTCATTTGTGCCTGAAGCCCTCCTGAGGAGAGAAGCTCAGAGGAAGCATCTGCCCAGGTACTCCATGCCCCGTGCTCAGCCCAACACACCAGCCTCTGTCTACACCAGCTGGGACTTCTCGCCCTGCGTCAGCTACCAGCTCCCCTCTGGTGCTGCCTTTGGGCGCAGAGAAAACTTGAAGATGACAAATGATGATCAAGGAAAAGTGGTCTATGAATTTCACTTCCTTTCAGTCTGATTCTGTCTGAAAAACTAAAATAGGGGCAGATGATTCAGTCCCTCTAGTTTTCATTTTCAGTGACCGGGAAGGAAAACACAATCTGTTCCTGCTGCTCGGGGAAGGACAGGGTGGCCAGCAGCTCGGGGCCTTGACAGAAGGTCCCTTCCCTTTGCAGCTGTGCGAAGGGGAGACGTCTGACCCTGTCTCCATCCAGTGCTCTTCTAGCTGCATGCTGGTACCACTGGCAGCCCTGGGCAGCAAAGAACTCTGCTAAGAAAATCAGTCGCCCTCTGTAGTTCTTTCTGGCATATGAAAACAAGACTATCTGGGATTTAAAATGCAAAGGTCTATGGCAGGTCCTGCAGGAAATGGAATCAGCAAACTCAGCAGTCAGAGAAAGACACCTGGAAACGGGGGTGGGGTGGGGTACAGGGTGGATGGCAGCGTGCAGAGAACAGGATCCCCATCCAAAGGCATGAAGGCACTTGCACTCAAAAC